ACCGAAACCGGAACGAAACCGAAACCAAAACCGAAATAAATTTTGAAGAACGAAACCAAAACCGAAACCGAAACACTTGGCAAAACCGAAACCCAAACCGGAACGTTATTTTGAATCGGTTTCATTCCTTGAATATAACAATTGCTCAATGCGATTTAGAAATCTAGGAGAAAGTTGTTTGGTTAAGAGATATATTGATGCCCTCGGAAAAGCGATTTCAACCTTTTCTTGTGACGCATATATATGTATGTGTAGATATCCATCATTCTCCCACTGTGAGGAATATCCCGACCTCAGCGCATCCTATCGTGTAATTTTTTAGTCCAAATATTCTTTTTCAATTGGCTCACAAATGTTCTAATTATCAGCCATATCTGCACCTAAATTCAGTTTTTAGGAATATTCCGATCCCAGCGCCACCTAGCGATTAAATTTTTAGTCGAAATATTTCCCTTCAAGGTGTTGACATATGTGTATGTTCCAAATATGAACGAAATCGGTCCAGCCGTTTAGTAGTTTAATACATTTAATATGTATAAGGAAAAGTCTATGAAATTGTGAAATCGTAACGCCTCAGCTTTCTTAATTTTTTGGCAACAAAAAGAAAAAGTTTTGTTTTATTTTAAATCGAAAAACCTTCCACACAGAAGAACCAAAAACGTACTTTTTACAGAATTGAAATCGGTTCAGCCGTTTGGTCAGGCATTGCGGTCATACGAAAGACATTTCATTTTATGCATTTTTTTGTATATTTGGTAGGTATGAGAATATGTCGTAAAGTATACATATTTCATACCGCTAGGAAAAGGGGACGTGGCATATGTGCGATTTTAAATTATTTTCAAAGAAATGTGTTTCCAGTTTGCAATTAAATTTGTTGCTGAAGTTGCTGTTATTGTTAAATGTAATGGTTTTTTAAAAGCACCACATTTCGCTGATTTTGGGCTGGTGCGGATCTAGTTACTATCGGACTGATTCATTTTTGGCGATAAAGATCTAGTACGAAACTAGAAATTTGATTCACTAGTTCGTAGTTTCCCTGCAGGGTTCTTGCTGAAGTACCGATACTTGGTATGAATATATATGAAAAATTGTGGCTATTGGAAAAGGGCGCGTGGCACCTCCCACACAAACCCCACCAACTATACTAGACAGTTTCAAGGACAGATTCACCATCGAACCGGATCATTGTTGCCCGCAGGACGTGAAGAGAAAAAGTTCTTCAAAGTTATTTCCGAGTAATCGTGCTGAGAAACCCTAGACCATTGGAGAAGATTTTACATAAAAAATTTACTAAGTACAGCCTGGTTTGTAGATGCAGTTAAAGAAAATACATGAAAAGGGACGATTTTTTTTAAATTCAAAAAATATAAATATTGCAAAAACGGTCACACTTTTATCTGACATATTTTTTTATCAGGGAGCTATATCTACTAAAATATTGTCGTAGATTAACAAAAAAGCGCCGTAGGGGAAAATTTAGTTAACAACGTATTTTTTAAAGAAAAATATAAATAAAATCATGGACGCTGCATTTCTTTTTCCTTTATTTTGGATTCTTCAAGGATGACCAACGCAGGCCTTTGTGGAAATTTATAATTACGAATTCCATTACGCATAAAATTTTGTATTTTTTATTTATCGATTTCGGAATATTTTGACTTCGTTATGTATGTAAGTCGTCATAAGTCGTCAATCAGTAAACATCGCGGGGTACTATGAATTAAATAGAAAGAGTATTTTGTGGAAGATTTAAAGTTGACAACATTGCAATTGTGAATTTACGAACCAATGTTATAACAAAATGCTAGAAAAATTAACAAACTCTAATGCCATTCATTACGATCATCTCCGCACCTCATTTGTAAAGAAATAGGGCGCGTTCAGAAATGCATCAAGCCAAAGCATCAGTCTCTTTTATTTCTAAACTATAACACTGGTCTACAAATTTCAACTTTTTTTCTGCGAATAAGACGGGACCTGGTGTTTCTGAACGGATTTTTCGTGCTGAACACGAATCCGGGGTCAAAAATGTCCCATCACGTCACGTTTTCGAGAAAAAAGGGGTTGAAACCCCTAAAAACAGCGTTTTTGGCCATTTTCGAAAAATTATAGAGCTGAACCCTGACGTGGTACAAATTTTGCATATATCAGAAATTAAAGGCTAAACCGTGCCCTTTCGAATGAGCCCTATGCCGAATTGATCGCGTGCACCCTTAAAGCAGGGGGTGTATTTGTGTTTAGGGGTGCAGGAAAAATTGATCACAGAAAGAATTTAATCTTAAACGATCATAGAAAATTAATAATGCCAAGGTTTTAACTATATTAAAAGTCGCTGATTACGAATCTGCAGTTAGATTTTAAAAATTTAAGATGACGGGTCGAATATGGTGGATATAAAAAATAAACTGAAATTCGCTAAATAAAAATTTTTAAGTCCGCCTTATTGGATCCGCCATTTTGAATTTTTAAAATCTAACTTCAGATTCGTAATCAGCGACTCTTAATGTAGTTAAGACCTTAGCATCATTCATTTTATATGGTCGTTTAAGATGAAATTCTTTCTGCGATCAATTTTCCCTGGACTCCTAGACACAAATACACCCCCTGATCTAAGGGTGCATGCGATTAATTCGGCATAGGGCTCATTCGAAAGGGCACGATTTAGCCTTTAATTTCTGACATATACAAAGTTTGTAGCACGTCAGGGTTCAGCTCTACAATTTTTCAAAAATGGCCAAAAACGCTGTTTTTAGGGGTTTCAACCCCTTTTTTCTCGAAAACGTGACGTGATGGGAAGTTTTGGACCCCAGATTCGTGTTCAGCACGAAAAATCCGTTCGGAAACACCAGGTCCCGTCTTATTCGCAAAACCCTTGTAGACCAGTGTAATTGATGGAAATGTCAAATATGCGCAACCACGGTTAAAAGCCGAATTGGAACTTAGTTGCTCAAATAAAACATTTCCATCAATTATAGTTTAGAAATAAAAGACTCCGATGCTTTGGCTTGATGCATTTCTGAACGCACCCATAATTATCGTACAAGTACGCTGGTGTGTTTTATGTTTCTAGCTTGATGTATAATCATTTGATGGCGTCAGATAGTTGGTTCCGTGCATCCACCACTTAATTGGATCTATATAATATACTTTCGACTTTCATTTCACGTTAACGCTGTACTGACACTAAAATGACCCAAAAAAAAAAACACCCAGCCGCGCAAATTTAATTTTGGGGCGTATATTGCGGTTCTGTAGACAATTTTTCAAAATCAGGTAATTTCCCCAAGATATTTTCATTTTTAGTTTTCATTGCGAATAAAAAATAATTCAAACTTTAACATGGAACATAAAAATGTTTTCGCAATTACGCAGCTGACAGCCTGCCAGCTGAGCTATTCAAGTACGGTGACGAGGAGTTGATAAGGTGCATGCATCAACTCTTATGCAGAATATGGTTATGGTTATGGCAGAATATGAACGCAGAAAAGCGACACCGCTATCTATGCATAAGTTACAAGGTTTTATCGAGCGTATTGTTTGAAAGACTGAAGCCCACCGTCAACGAACTGATTGGGCCTTATCAGTGTGGCTTTAGATCTGGCCAATCAACCATTGACCAGGTATTTACACTACGCCGAATTGTTTGAATATGGCTGTGCAAAATAACGTTGAGCAATAGCATCAGATCGGTCAGAATTGGGAAAGACCTTACTGAGCCGTTTGCCACCTAACGGGGTTTCAGACAGGGCTACTCCCTGTGTTGATGTCAGAGAAAATAATAAGAACTGCAGAACTGAACCGATCAGGAACAATTTACCACAAGATCGTGCAAATACTGCCATATGCCGATGACACCGACATCATCGACGACAAAAACCACGAAGTCTACTCTGTCTTTCCCAAGTTTGATAGAAAAGTAAAGCGAATGGATCTGGTGGGAAACGAGGACAGGACGAGGTATCTCCTGTCATAAAACAATCATTCAGCGCATTTGTGCTTCGGTACCCATGTCACTGATGACAATTATAGTTTTTAAACAGTAAAGAATTTATTTTATTTGGGAGCCAGTATTAACATCGATAATAGAGACAGCATCGAAATCCAAATTTTGCTAATGATTTACGGACCTTTACGCGTTGGCGACTAAGGGTACCGCAGGCGGTGGATCGATGAGCTGTGTAAAAGAGGGAAGGAAGAGGCCTCCTCTGCGATGGAAAGGCCCAGTGGAGATGGAGTTGGCTGCGGCTGGTGTGCTTTGATGGAATCGACCAAAATCGGTTAGGCGAATACAGCGTCAAATGAAAATAAGGAGAAGAACTAGGTAATTTTTGATGTTGAGGCAGTAAAAAAAAATATTCTACCGATGGAAAATAATCGACACAATTTTTGGTTATGTTCATAAAGCGTTGCCGCAAGAAACTATGAAGTTTTAGATCGATGCTTTAAAAACCGAAAAAGTAGATGTTTAAATTCAAAACGGACCTACTTATGATCAATTGCCCATCCTAGAGGTAACAGACAAAGGAAGTGTTGCTTTTAACGTTATTCCGTGAAAAATCCAAAACTCACGGTATTATAAACTACCCTGGTATTATCATATGTGTGTATATACAAACACCAGTGCGATTGTGAAATTTAAAACAAAACAGCTTTTCTGGTAGGTACATAATTTAGCGTTCAACTACAAAGCAGTATCATATGTATACGAGCATGTATGTATGGATGTATATTTACGCATACCGATGGATGAATTCAGTTAAAATTTGAATACGGATAACAACGCAGGCGTACGGCGTCCCTTGTGTGCAGAGTGCAGACGCAACATGACCGAATGTATCATAAATTGGTGAGAGCTAGATGAATTTCGAATGAAGCTTAAAAAATGTTTGGTCGATCGTAATTAGTATAGATTCAGATAAATAAATCTCAAATGGCGACCAATTTCGCAATGCCACTTCACCAATACTCGTGTCGACAACTTTTGAACTTTTAATTACCTTGACTACTGTCTCTGTTGGTCGAGTCGTATCGACTGTCGCCGGACATGTGCGATGTGGCAGTTGAACGCGCCAACATTGGCTTGACGTGGCGCAACGCTTGCTCCTCTGGGTAGCGTGGCGTTTGGAATTTTGTTGGCCTCGACTGCAGCGTCGCAGGGCCGGAACGCTGTTGTATCAGCATCCGATGCCGCAATGGTGGTGGGGAGATAGACTTGGCTAAAATTGAGTGAGGTAATTTATTCGGTGAGTAATCGCTGCCAGATTCGCCCTGTAAACAAAACTGAAATTTGATTGGTTGTATTGGTAATGCATTCCTATGAATATATTAGTTAATTTCTCGAAGTAAGTACCATGACGGTGCCATTGTCAGACACACCCGACCCAGACATATTGTCGGCCAGTAGGCGCTCGCTCTCGGGATCTGCGAGCACCCGTGAGATATCAGATTTGTTTTTGAGTATCGACTTTGAACGTCGATGCTGCTCAAGATTTGGAGATACGTCGATAGAGTCTATCGACGAGGAATGTTTACTTTCGAATTTCGCTGCAATGGAGTAAAATAAATGGTCAGAGAATGTCAGCAAAACGACAAAAGATATTGAAACGTATTCTTGTTTCCTTACCTTTTTGTCCAACATTCTGTATTCCGAACAGATGCTGGTTGATTAGCTTGGTGGCAGTGGCTAAACTCTTTCCGGGCATGAATGATGAGCGCTTCTTCTTGCTCCCGCTGCCGGCAGGGCTGCTATCGTGGCTGCCGCTTGCGTTGTCTTGTATGATCTTGGCCTCTTCGAAGCGTGCTCGTGGCTTGTTTGAAGTCCCTGCGCCGGTAGGCATCGACGTGAAACTTTGGAATCGTGTTTTGCGGTGTTTTGGAACGGGATTCTCATTGAGACTAACACGACTGCCGCGTTCTTGCACTTCGAAGTTTTGATATACCTCGTCCATCGGACTCAGACCGCCTGCGGCCATATTACGTAGCGCCGTGTCTCCCGACGTGCTTTTCTTCACCTGCGAACGCATCAGTCCCATCGGTGTCAGACCAGTAGCACCGGTTGGTGGAAGACCGACGATATAACCTGTTGTGCCTGGTCCACTTGTCGACGTCGTCGATTCTTTTTCCAACGGGTTTATGTACAAGTTATCCATGTCGATGTCCAGTGCACACGCTTCGTCGGCCAGGTCGGCAGTGAGATCACCTTGGGAATGAAATGGATGAGTTTGACAGCTGGCGTACGTATCCGAACTGTCCACGCTAGCCAGATCTGCATTGTTATTGTTGTTGATGTTAACATTGAAGTTGTTATTAAAATTGCTCCCCAAAGCCAGAGCAGCATTACCGGTTGCCATTGACAGTGCTGGACATGCACCCACCGATGTTGTATTGAAATTATTGTTATAATTGTAATTGAAGTTATTGTTGCTGTAGCTAGTGATGAATGGTGGGTAACGAAATGGAGTGTCGAGTGGCAGAGCTATGGTGGTGGACGTAGTGGTGCCATACGATGACGAGGTGGATGATGATTGCGATGCAATCGGCGCTAGGCTATTGGCAGTGTGCTGGGGCAGATGGTGTGGGGTGCGCATCACGCCGCCACCACCGCCAATCGAAAATATGACTTCGGCATGTGCGTCGCCTGTAGCGGCAGTAATGGCCCCTACTAACTGTGGCTGAGACGTCGGCAGGTGTATAGGTGGGGCCAGCAAACCGAACTGGTTGGCGCGCAGATCTCGGTTCGCTTGATTGGCAGCCATTCGCATCTCCACGCAAACGGGCTTGTGGAAATCCGACGTTGGAAGCGAAATTACACCCTCGGCATCGGTGAACTCCTTGAAGTCCTGCAAAGGAAAAAGCAATTCACAAAATTTAAATTAGTTTGACAAATTCGAAATTGTGGTGATATGTGCGTTGAATCGGTGGTGGACAACAAGAAAACTTGAACTTGTTGGCAGGTTTGGGTATGCGGTTGTAGATAGCGGTGTGTAGAGGTGTGATGAGGTGCCCACGTAATAGGAGCAAATCTATTTACAATTGCAAATTAGACAAATTGTTTAAGTTGTTTTGTTAGTACGCGAATAGCGGTGGTGTATTTGATGTTAATAAGTATATTGCTTGTGAAAAACAAACAGAGCCATTTCGGCAATGGTAACTTCGAATAAAACATTAATTCAGCGTTTTCATCTAAAATAAGTAAGGAACGAAACTGAACATTGTATTGAACATAAGAAAAGGTCACCTGCAAAAGGAATACGTAAGTTCATTTTGATCAAATACACTTCAATCTCCTTCAGTTTTTAAATTAATTAATGCGCACACTAATTCGAAGGTATTAGACCGAAACTACTTACCATTGAATGCGTGTGTTTTTTGGCTTTTCATAATAAAAAATACTTGGAGATCCGAATAAAAAATCTATCTAATTCTTTTTTTGCTTTTATCTGGAGCTTCCAAAACTAATCTATATATACAATTCGCGAAGGGATTTTTTGCCCACGACATAAAATATGCACCGTTCGCTCAATTTTCAAAAATTGGGTGTCAAATTAAAGCACTTGGCATGTAGATGTGAAAAGAGTTGCCACCTGTTGAAAAATTAAATTCAAATTATTTAATATTCAATGTCATCAAATCTACGCCTTTCTTTAAATTTTTCAAAATGAGGTGTCACATTAAAAGGCTTGGACTGCGGATATGCAATCAGATTTACTTTGTAGAAAAGATATGCCACCTCTTAAAAAATTATATTCAAATTATCAAAAAAAAAGTCTATTATAAACTGGGTATAAATCTAAATGGTTTTGAAAGGCTTTGTTTCTTAACTTAATTATAGAAGATTACCACTTGTTTAAAAAATCAAACTCAATTTGAGTTAAGGAAATTATGCAAGAGAAATATATATGTATCACCATATGGGTGCCAAACGAAGGGGTTTCAGAAAATATTAGATACAAAATATTTTGAAATATTTGAGTTATATGAAATATCAAAATGTGGATATGAAACGAATATTTTTGAGGTGGTGGAATAGAGTTGCCTACCTGTTTAAAAAGCAAAATTCATATTATTTAATAAGTTAAATGTATTATTAAAATATGGGTATCAATCGGATGGGGTTTGAAAAATCTTTATTTCTAAGCTGTGTTTAGCGGGGTTCAGCACGTTTAAAAAACCAACTTCTACTTAATTCATGAATTAATAACAAGTAAGAAAGTCTAAGTTCGGGCGGATCCGAACATTAAATACCCGGCGCAAGTATTAAATATATGTTTTCCTTATATACCTTTCCGAAAGCTATCGCTACATGATAGGCGGGTGTATAAATTTTAAGTAAACTAGCATCCTTAAATTTCAAAATATTGAAATTTCAAGCATTTCTGAAATTTACCGTTATATGAAAAGCGGCAGTAATTTTAGTCCGATTTCAACAATTTTGAACGGTTTTCTTTTATGTGGCAAGCACAATAACCATACCGAGTTTGGTACAAATTGCTAGAACGGTTAACGAGATACATATATGTGATCATAAGTGGGCGGTGCCACGCCCATTTTCCAAAATTTTATCATAAACATATTTCCTGGTAAAGAATTGTTGCAACCATCAATTTTGAATAAATTAGCTTTAATATTTACTGATATATCGAGGATTTCGTATTTCTCGAAATTACCGTTATATGGGATGTGGGCGTGGTTATTGTCCGATTTTAAAAATTTTCGGCCATTTGGTATGCTGTACCAGGGTCAACAACTGTGCCAAGGTTGGAAGAAATTGGTGCAGCGGTTACCAAGATATACACATGTAACTGGGCGTGGCTACGCCTATTTTCCAAAAATTTTTAATATTCTTATTTTTCGTCTAAAAGTTATTCTAAATGTCAATTTTGAGTGAATTATCTTCAGTAGTTACTAAAATATCGCAGTTTTCGTATTTCTGAAAATTACCGTTATATGGGAGGTAGGCGTGGTTATTGTCCGATTTCGCCCATTTTCAATACCATCCGTCCTACGCCCAAAAGAACTGCATGTACCAAGTTCCGTTAAGATATCTCAATTTTTACTCGAGTTATCGTGTGCACAGACGGACGGACGGACGGACAGACAGTCACCGCTTAATCGATTTCTCTTTTTATTCTGATCATTTATGTATACAATTGTCTATATCTATCTCGATTCGTTTTGCCTGTTACAAACAACCGTTATGTGAACAAAGTTATAATACCCTTGTGCACAAGTGCGCTCGGGTATAAAAATATGTATCGAAATGTCAGTCAAAGGAGGGTTAACAAGTTTTTAGCTTGAAAATACTTTTGAAGAGGGCTGCCACCTGCTTCAGAGGTCTAATTTAATTAACTATTTACTACAAAAATTATATGAAATATAAAAATTCGGGTGTCAAAATGTTAGTAAAATTAAAACGTTGATACTGAACGATTGACGCGTTGTCATAGGTTGGAACTTGTTACCAAACTGTCTGAAGACAGTTTTTCAAAATTCAAAATGGCGGATCCAAAATGGCGATCCATTTTTTTAAATGGTTGCATTTGTTCGAAATCCGGCACTCGAGAGTTTTTTGGGTCGCCCATTACGAATCTGAAGTAATTTTTTGTTTTAATTCAAATGGCGGATCGAATATGGCGATCAAATAAAAAAAAATACTAAAATTAAAACGTTGATACTGAACGTTTTAAGCATTGTCAAGGGTTGAAACTCGTTTCCAGTGGGTTTCTGAGCTTACTGATTATGCATCTGATGTCAGATTTTCAAAATTCAAAACGGTGGATCCAAAATCGCGACCAACTTAAAAAAAAATATTGGATTTGTTTGAAACTCTGACCGCCATTTTGAATTTTGAAAATCTGACATCAGATTCGTAATCAGCAACAAAAGGCACTATCTCCGAGAAGACTCGTATAACGTTGCCACTCGGCATGTTAATCCCGGGAAGCCGGAATCCCAGTCTTTTTTAAGTCTCGAAAATCCCAGGATTATTTGCCTAGAATCCTTATTTATTTGCCGAATCTGATGAACTGACAAAATTTTTCAAAGAAAAATTTTCATTGGAAATGGTTTATGGTACAAGTGATCCAACAACCAAAGGAGGGACTACCATTGATGCAGTTATTGCCACAATCCACTAGTTAATATTGTAGATTTGAATGTTTTCTCAGCCACAAATAACTAACTATTAAATTTAGCAGTTGGTTATAAAAAAAGCTCGTTAAAAAAAAATTTTAGATATATGTATATATTTTGTATATTAAAAAATATGCACATGTGTATGTGTGTATATCGCACATTTCTTTCTTTCTGGAATTCTTATATTAAGTTTCACTTCTTCCGCGCGTAGGGACTACACGCACTGAGTTTTTTTTTTTAAGCTAATAAAGTTAGAAGGACTATATTTGAGGATGTTGTCGAGTTTATATTCATAGCCCTTAGCATATAATTTTTTTTCAAAATAAATATTGCAAAATTTCAAGAACATTCAAGGATAAAATTTTAAAAGGACATTTTCAATACCCTTTGTACCAAAAATTGTATTTTTCTCTACATAACTTTCATTTTAATTTAATACCCATACTGTTTTTCTAAGTACATTGCACTGAATTTTTTAAATATTATTCTGAATTACTCATATTATTCAAATATCAAAGTCCTTTAAAAAAATCCTGACGTCAGACAGAAAAACTAAAAACCCAATTTTGTGTTATGTTTATGTATAATGAGCTAGACATTTATAAAAAAATATTAAGTATTAGATAAACAAAAGAAATATAGCAAAACTGGTCAACATAAGGCGTTTCTATTATTGCCATCATTGCAAATTACAAAAGGCCGGGATCCCGGGACCCTACTCCCAGCAGAAATTGCTGAGCGGTAAGAGGTTTGGGTCAAATGAAGAGGCCATCACTGAAAAAAGAATTATGTGGAAGGAATACAAAATTTGGAATAACGCTTTTCAGCATTACAATAAATCATAAAAATAAATAATAATAAATCATCTTACAATAAATTACTGACTAACTTAAAGACATAATAATCAGCTTATGAATTTGGCTCTGTAGCTGAACAGTTTCAGATCTCGACATTTAACAAACTCCTGCCTTTCGTGACTCGGTACCAATATAAAAAAATGACTTTTCGTATTATGCTCGCAAGCTCGACCAAAAATTCCTAATTGTAAGCCCTCCCGAAGTTTCATCTTTGTGTCATTTCTTTGCTTCAACAAAGAATAAATATTCAAAATTGACAAACCGTAGAAAAAGTTTGCAAAGCTCTCTTTTTATAAAAAGGATTTGTTCGAATTTCAATAAATAGCAGAAATCGGTCTAAAATTATTAAAAAACGAAAAAATTGAAAATATTAATAATTACAAAAACGAAGTAAAGCAAACAATTTTCTACACACATATACATGTATCAGTTGCAAACAATTTAAATTACATGCATATATGTATGAAAATACATATGTACATATATGGGCAAATCCAAAAAATAGGTACACTCTCAAAAAAAAAAACAAATTTGAAACTTGCGCATTATTACACTAAAATTAAAGGGCTATAAAACTGTATACTCATAACTCATTTTAAAATTTCTGAAAAACAAGTTTGAAGTTAAGTTTTAAGCTCATATTTTTAGTTTTTATGGTATTTGTTAGGGAATGAATTTTTTTAATTGAAAAATTCTTAAAATTAAAAAATAAACATACATACATACATAAGTGGCGTATGTATGTACTAATTGAAAACGCTCATCTGTGCTCTTGAGTTTCCGTATAAGGACTTTTATTGGCTTACATGGTTCACCGGACCAATGCTGAAGTTGCAGGATCATAGAAG